CCTAGCACGTTTTCACCGGAATCAAAAGAGATTGCCTCGGAAACAGCGTCAGCATGAATGTTCCCGTGAACCACCCAACTCTTTTACTCGAAATGGAAGTAAGCTCGACAATTACGAAACAAGAGATTCCTCGAAACCCAACTTTTCTTGGTTTACGAAAGCCATGCTGAATTCCATCATCTTCTTCTGGTTAGAGCTAGCCTCAAAATCTCCCATCTGACATTTCACATAAAGTCCACTTTTTCCGTCAGAGCTTGTGCCTTTGTGGGGTGGAGCTCGGTTCCAATCTCACCTCGTCTCATCAGCAACCCAAGAGGGGTCGGAACCACGGGCTATTGCTTAAAGTCGTTTTCGCTTGTCAGCAAGCGACACATTCTGCGGCTAGCAACAGATTTATCTTGCAACTTTTGGAAGCTGAGAGCTATCGAGATGGGCCGGTTTCGACTGATTCCGACTGTGGCCATGCTGATGTGTAGGGAAAAGGCGAGAGATGAGAGATTTACTGAGCAAATTAGGTTCTTTCTTTCACTCTTCATGGGCAGCCAGGCGGAAGGTGTGTCAGTGCAGGCTGGAACTTCCGATAAGAGTCATGGCCGCATTCCAAATCACACTTTTACATACACTTCTTTCCCATATTCACTGAACCCTTTCGTTTGTCCCCCTTGGCGATGAATGTGTGGACGCCAGTATGAAATGGTCGGCTTGTTGTTGAATGTTAAAGTTGAAAATTGGGATTGCCTCCTCCTTAGGTCGTAGACTCCTTCCACATGACATTTGCTCATTTGCCCCCCTCGCTCCACGTTAATGTAAGCCCCAACCTAGTCTTCCGTAATACATGAAGAAGCGATGGGTTTTAAAGACGCCCTTACTAAATGGAACCTTTGTGCTTTCCAGTTTTACTTTAAAAATGCGCGTAAAAGTGATTGGTAGCTCGGCCTCACCGGATACTGAGGGAGGATTGCCTTGGAACTGTGACTGTTTGGTTGCGCGAAGAATACCACAATTCACCATTTCACACACCGATGAACTTTTGCCAAGTTTTTTTCCTATTAGCTGACGGATATTGTCAAAACCGGGAGCCATCATTCAAGGTAATTCATCGAACAATGAAACGAAAGGTTTTGTATATGAAATATGTTTACCCTACTTCGTTTTACCAGAATCGAAGGAGATCACCTCGGAAACTGCGTCATCATGAATGTTCCAGTAAAGCCAATCGACAGCTGATCAAGAGGAATCCGCCGTCATCTTTTGCTGGAATGGACCTTAGAATGTCTTCACCAAATGGAAGTAATATCAACAATTAAGGTTATAAAGAACTAGTTGTTCAATTTTCCTCAAATGATATGAGTAGACCTTACGTTTCCGTTAAATTTTTACAGTCTCGCTCCATGGAAGGAATTCTTATCCGGACAGAAGAAGATAACAGTTTCCACCTCGCCTATGTCTTGTAAACACCCCCAGCGGGACTCGAACTGTGACAGTGCAGTGTATAATTTAGACGAAGTCGAAACTACAGTCCAGCCTGGATTGGAATACCGCCTAGGAAGCAGAGCTATGTGAAATTTCTCAGATTGTGGGAAGATTCAACAACCAGTAAATGTCATCGTAAATGAAATAGGATGATTTACTGGTTGCCTCGAAATGCTACTTATACACAAAGAAAAGTCTTGTATCTTTTGGTGACTTATTTGTAAATGAAAGCCTCCGGCTCTGACGGTGTCCGTCGTATTGCAGAAGAAAGAGTGGCACCGATTCTTTGGTGTCTCGTGTCGGTGAGCTGATGTTTTCTGCGCAGGATTCGCCAGTCACAATTCCAAGACAACCATCCTTCAGTGCCGGGCGAAGCTGACTTACGAATCCCTACAGCAACAATAATTGGCGCTAATCAACTGGTTGTGCCCAGACGTATTAGTAACTAGCGCAAAGTAGTGGCCCAGTAACCACGACGATGGATAATGGCCCCAGAAATGCAAACAAATGCTGTAGCTGGACGCCAATTCAAGACCAATTCGCCTCAAGTTGGCGAGGGCGAGAAGTGATGCCGATTGGTGTTTATGCGAGCCTGAATTGTGGCAATGCAGGGCGGACGAAGGACCAAATCGGCGGCCGAATAGTTGCTAGTGCTTCGAGCCCACATAGAACATGCCTTCATAATGCTCCTCATCTCCCGGTTGCCAGGTTCACGACTCGGTGAGCAGTTTGGTGGTGCCGGTCAGACTGTGGACTATGGGAAGAGGGGAAAAAAGACACACTCGGAATTCTCGTTAGCCCAAATAAGTGGAGATAAGACGTGATGACAACTCACGGATGAAACAACCAAAGTTAATTGGCCCACCCAGCCTTAGCGCTTTTGACCCTTCTTATTGCTGGGCTCCGAGAACAGACTCGTTTTCGGGCATCTTGTTGTTTCTAGTT